TGAGGCTGTGATGGCCGACGGGTGAAGGCGTTGGACTCGCAATCCAATAGGGATTCTCTGCGCAGGGTCGAATCCTGCTCACAGCGACAGGTTTTACCTGGTACCCACACTGGGAGTCCCGGGGGTTCTGCCAAAAGTGATGCTAGAAGTGATGATGCTCCTGTTGCAGTCTCTGTCCCATCCGGTAGTCGCATCATGTTGCTGAATTCAGCAGATCTTTTTCTTTATGTGGCATCACTTTCTTGTCACAATTAATTGGTGCGAGTAAGTCATTAGTGCTGTTGGCTGGCCCTGGTGCTCACGCAAAGCCCTTGTGCCTGGAACCGCTCCAGGCAGAGCAAGGCCAGTACCATGGTGTTTATCCAAACCCCTTTCTGTCCCCTGGCCACAGATCAATGCAGTTAATGAGAAACCCCAGCTTGGGAAAGAGGCTGCACGTTGGGTGCTTAGAGGCTTTTGCTCTGCAGTGGGACAGGAAAGGGCAGGAAACCCACAGGGTGCGAAGAGCTGAGCCGGGTGCTGCAGGGTGCAGGCAGATCCTGAGACCATGGCGAAGCTGGTGGAGTGTGTCCCCAACTTCTCGGAGGGGAATAACAAAGAGGTGAGGGAGTGAGTGGAAGCGCTGAGGGGTGGGTGTTGCTGGGGTGCTGATGGCTGCGTTTTCCCTCCACAGAGCAGTACCCACCACCAGATTCTGCTGTGCCTCCTTTGAAGTGCTGTGCACCTTTCACTGCCTAGCTAGTGCCAAAAATGCCTAAATGCAACCTTCACTTCCTTTTGGCACCTCAATGAGAAGTGGGGGCTCAGACCTCCCTCCGGTGCCTGCTGGTTGCTGTAGCACCAGGTTTCGGGGTGGTCTGGGACACCCCCATAGAGAAATATCGCTTGCAGTTGTTATGCCAAAGGATGCTGTCCAGGTTAATGGAATCTGTCCTGGACATTTGCCCTCAGCTGAACTTTGGCCCTGCCAGGGGCAGGGGAGTTCAGCAAACCCAAAAAGGCTGTGAAAACACAGCTTCCCCCAGGGAACAGGCTTCGCAGAGCCAAATCTTTTTGGAAGCTGGCCGGAGACTGTATCCTCAGGAACAGTGATTTGTGATGCTGTTCTCTGACATGCAGCAGCAGTCAGGTGTCTCTCCCCCACCACAGCAAGTTTGCAGCTCACTGGGAGCCAGGGGTACCCCAAACCCCCTGGGTGGGATGCTCGCTCATGCTTTTGGATTCTGCACCCTCTGCAGCACAGGGCTGATGGTCCCCACTGATCCTCCTCAAACCCTGCACCAGTGGGAAGGGGGAGAACTGAGAAGAGATGTCCCCTCCCTTGGAAAGCTGCGGCTGTGGTGGGGACCCAGCCAGCTCAGACACTGTCCGGCAGGTGATCGATGCACTGGGACAGGCCATCTCCCGGACGCCGGGCTGTGTGCTGCTGGACGTGGATGCAGGCGCCTCCACCAACCGCACCGTCTACACCTTCGTGGGGTCCCCTGAGGCAGTCGTGGAAGGGGCGCTGAGCGCAGCCCGAGTGGCTGGGCAGCTCATTGACATGAGCCGACACACGGGTGAGCTTGGGAGCGGCGCAGGAGCTGCTCTGGCACGGAGCATCCCAGCTGCTGGTGACCATGCATGGCACATCGCCCCACCCTCAGTAAGAAGTGCTGCTGGGATAGATGGTGGTGGGAGCAAAGCTCTTGCTCATCCTCCCAGTCCAGAGAGGTTGAGTGCCTCCTGTCCCTGGGCTGGATAGACATTACTGCCACAAACACAACATATCCAGAGGATGGTTGGGCACTGGAACAGGCTCCTCAGGGCAGTGGTCACAGCCCCAAGTTTGCCAGAGTTCAAGGAGAGTTTGGATGATGCTCTCAGGCACATGTTGGTGGTGTTGGGGTGTCCTGTGCAGGGCCAAGGATTGGACTTCATTATCCTTGCGGGTCCCTTCTGACTCAGGTTATTCTGTGATTCTGTGATTTCCTCACAGCAATGGTGTTCAGTCTGTAATAGTCTGGGAAAGGACCATTCTCCCTCCTTGTCTATTCACTCTTTCCAACTCCCATCCCTATATCTGCCCTGCCACCAGGTGAACACCCTCGGATGGGGGCACTGGACGTCTGCCCCTTCGTGCCAGTGATCAATGTCAGCATGGAGGAGTGTGTCACCTGCGCCCACATCTTCGGGCAGCGCTTGGCAGAGGAGCTGGGGGTACCTGGTGAGTGGGGGACGGAACCTCTCCTCCTTCCATCCTACTCTGCATGATTCCAGGGGCTGGAGGAAGTGCCAGCCCGTGCCTGGTGGTGCTCAGCCCTGGCTCTGTCTTGCAGTTTACCTGTACGGAGCGGCAGCGCGGGAGGAGAGCAGGAAGGCCCTGCCCTCCATCCGTGCCGGGGAGTACGAGGCGCTCCCCGAGAAGGTGAGCCTGGCAGCACCCAGTTGGGTGGCACAGGTCAGGCAGAGCTGAGCTGTATGTCCCTGGCTTCAGGGAGGGTGCTGGGGGCTGGCATAGTCCCTTTGCACCAAGAGGAGCTGGGGACACATTCTGGGTGGTGCTGAACATGAAGGTGGTCATGGCAGATTCTGTCTGGGGAGGGAGAGGCCATCCCTGGGCGGGTGGCTCGTGCTGCTCAGCGGTGCCAGCCCACATGCTCTCCTCCCTCCTCCCCAGCTTGCAAAACCAGAGTGGGCTCCTGATTTTGGGCCCCCAACCTTTGTCCCCCGGTGGGGGGCCACGGTGACGGGTGCCCGGACCTTCCTTATCGCGTACAACATCAACCTGCTGTGCACCAAGGAGCTGGCTCACCGCATCGCCCTCAATATCCGCGAGCAGGGGCGCGGCCCCAACCAGGTACCACCGTGCCAGCGGCACGCCAGGAGCAGACCCACGTGGCCCCTCGCCTCCTGGGCCGTGCCCTGAATGTGGCAGTTGTTGGCAGCCCGGGCGCTTGAAGAAGGTGCAGGGTATCGGCTGGTACTTGGAGGAGGAGAATATAGCCCAGGTCTCAACAAACCTGCTGGACTTTGAGACCACGCCGCTCCATGCTGTCTACGAGGAGGTCTGCCAGGACGCAAAGGTGGGTGGTGTGGGAGGCTTGTTCCAGTGGGGGCTTCACAGAGGATGTCTCCCTCCAAGTTTTTCTCCCTGTCCCCAGGTCAGGGTCTGCTTTAGCTCATGCTTAGCTCAGCCATAGTGCTGAATGGCACAAAACCCCCAAAAGCTCAGCAACTTGCTGCTAGCTCCCAGCTCCTCCATTGAAGGCTTGTCCATGAGCTACCCATGTCCTGAGAAGGGATGAGGACCACCAGGCTGGGGTCGTAGCGGCAGCAGGGCTCTAGGGATGGTCACATTTCTTGTGTTCTTTGCAGGCATTGAATCTTCCTGTGGTGGGGTCCCAGCTGGTGGGACTCATTCCCAAGAAGGCCATGCTGAATGCAGCTGAGTTTTACATCAAGAAGGAAAAACTCTTCATCCTGGAGGAAGAACAGAAGATCAGGCTGGTAACATGTCTCCTCCTGGTACCAACACAAGGGTGGCATCATGAGAAAGACACATCCACTCCCCCAGCCTCCCAAAGTGGCACTGAGCAGAGATTTGGGACCACTCAGGCCCCAGGCTTGACACTTGTCTTCAGGGAGGTTTTTGTGGGGGGACAGTGAGTGAGACAAGTTGGTTTATTGTTCTGAGGATGCTGAAATGCTCAGGGAGCAGGGACCCCAACCCATGAGGACAGAGTGTGGGGAGCAGCTGCCCATCTTGCCTGCCTGGAGACCAGGAGGGGAAGGAGGTGTCCCCAGAGCTCAAGGACAGTGTGTGGCATTATGGAAAGCTGTCCCAGGACAAGTGTAAGCAGGAAATGAGGAGACAGGGCTCTGCTATTCCACTGCAGGAGGGAGGGACTTTTCCAGCCTGTGGGAAATGTGCTAGATAAGAGCAAGTTAATGATTAATCAGTCCAGTTTCCAGTCACTGTAGGTGACCACATGCCTCCCCCATGTCTGGGATGGGACACAGGGTGGTGGTGCTAGCTGTCCTCTCTCTGGGTGGTGGCCAAAATAACTCTGTCCTAATGCTGACTCACCTAATGCTGGTTAATTAGCAGTAGGGAATGAGGCTGCAGCAGGACGGGGCTGACACAGCCGTGCTGCTCCTTGCAGGTGGTCAGTCGGCTGGGCCTGGACTCCCTGTCTCCATTTCGCCCCCGGGAGCGCATCATCGAGTAGGGACCCCCATCTCGCTTCATATCACGGTGCCCATCCCTGCCTGGATGGGGGGATCCTGCTGCCTCTGTCTTGCACTCGGCCTGTTTTGGGAGCATTGGTCACCCCCAGGGGACATCTCTGCTGGGTGTTGTGTAGGCGTGGCCTGCTCCCAAATGCTGCTGGTTGTGAATGTGGAGTGGGGGAACTCCAGGTCACTTGAGCAGGCAGTGGGAGCAGGTCTTGTAACCAAATTGGAATGTTAAATTCCCTCCTCCATCCCCATGCCAACTTTCACTGCCTCTGGCTCACCCGCTGCTCTCTGAGGAGAGATGCTGTGTGGCAGCAGATGGTGTGAAACACGTGTCTGAGGGGCAAAGGGAAGGGAAATCCACCCATGAGGTGAAGTACTTGTTGTCCCCCCTAGGACCTGGCTGCAGGTGTTTCTGTCCCACAAAACTCCATTTGCATGAGCCCACCCTGTCTAATCCAGAGCAGCCCCCCACACCACCAGGACATGTGTTCCCCAGCTGTCCCCATGGGGTTCCCAGTCCTCTCCCTGACCTTTATGCTGGGTTTTTTTGGGTTAGCCATCTTCTCATTCATGAGGTCAATGACAACCTGTCAGAGAGGGCAGTGCCGGGGGAGGAGGGTAGTGGTGGTGTCCCTGCATCTGGGGGGCTCTAAACCCTGGGGCTGCTGTGCCGCAGGTACCTGGTGGAGGCAGGAGAGGTGGACGGGGGGCTGGTGTCCAAGCCCCTGGGCACCTTTGTGCGGGCAGTCGGTGGGAGGTCGGCAGCGCCGGGAGGAGGCTCCGTGTCTGCAGCTGCAGGTGCCCTGGTACGTTCCTCACACCGAGGGGGAGTCCTGGGGGCCCGCTTGCTGTGTGGAGCCCCTGAGGGGGGCCGGCATGGTGGTGGGAGTGGGCACTATGTCCTGCTGGAGGATTTCGTCCCCGTGCCCTCGCAGGGAGCAGCGCTGGGCTGCATGGTGGGGCTGATGAGCTACGGGAAGCGGCAGTTTGAGGACCTGGACCCCATCATGAGGAAGTTGATCCCCTCGTTCCACCAGGCCATGGATGAGCTGGTGGCAATGGTGGATGCTGACTCCTGTGCCTTCAGCAGCTACATGGTGAGATCCGGCTAGAGGCAGACATCCTGCAGGGAATTGCGGGGGGGGGGGCTTTCCAGCTGGAAGGAGGGCTGGGATCGCTGCGCTCTAGTATCCTTAGCAGCAGGGTTGTGACCTTGGAATCATAAAATCATTAAGGTTGGAAAAAACCTCCAAGGTCATCAAGTCTAACCTTCTACTGAGTGCACCCATGGCCACTAAACCATGTGGCAAAATGCCATGTCTACTCTTTTTTTTAACACATCCAGTGATGCTAAAGCCAGGCCCAGGGGAAGGGTCATCATCACATAAAGGAGGTTTGCAAGAGTATGGGAGCTCTGGGGTGTGCCCTAGCCCCTGATGCAAGGCATGGCCTTGGTGACAGCAGCAAACCTGCTTTTCTTTGCCTGCAGGAAGCAATGAAGCTGCCAAAAAGCACCCCTGAAGAGCGGGAGAGGTGATCTGGGCTGGTGGGCACTGTCAGACTGGGGGAGCACAGGCACCCAGCACTGAGCCAGGGCTGTCCCCCCTCCCAGGCGCATGGCTGCCATGCAGCAGGGACTGAAGACGGCCGTGAGGGTGCCCTACGCCCTGGCAGAGAAGGTGAGTGGGCTCTGGCCTGCTCTGAAGGAACTGGCACAACACTGCAACCTGGCCTGCAAATCCGACATCCAGGTATGTCCCCAGGCTCACACTCTGCCCTGCAAGGTGTCCTCATGTCCTGAGCTGCAGGGAGCATCTGTCCAGCTGTGCTTCCCAAACAGGCCCAGTGCTTTCCACCCACTATTTGTCAGCTTGCAAAAACAGCTCCTTGTAGGAGAGTTGACCTCCACCAGCCCTTGCTTGAGTTTCCTGTTGTGTGTGGCAATGCTTCCCACTGTTTGAGCTACATCCTGAGAATCCCACCACATTGGAAAGTGTTCTGTGCCTCTGGGGGTGAGGGTGGAAGTCCTGCAGGGTAAGGGGTCTGCTCTTCTGCAGCACAGTGTGCTGGTGCTGGTTGATGAGGAGAGCTGCTCGCAAGCCTGTCTTTTCCCAGGTGGGAGCCAAAATGCTGGAAGCAGCTGTGTTTGGAGCTTACTTCAATGTCATGATCAACCTCAAAGACATAACGGATGAGAAGTTCAAGCTTGTGGTAATAAGCAGGGGTTGTGTGTGTGCCCCAGGCCTGGTGGTGGGGCTGAGGAGGGACAGAGAGGAAGCCCCTGGGACCACTTGTGCCCGGGCACTCCCTCCCTTTGCCACCAGTGGGATGCATGGGGTGGATGGGGGATGGCTCCTGTGTTCTGTTGAGCAGTAAACGACACATCTTGTCCCCACACAGATGTCCCAGAAGGTCTCCGGGCTGCTGGAAGAGGCAAAGCAAGGGTCAGCACTCGTGCTGGCACTGCTGGAGAAGCGGGTGGCCTGAGGAGGGCTTGGGAGTGGTCTGGGAGTTCTGCAGTGGCAAATAAAGCTGGGAAACCCACTTGTCCCTGTGTTGCTCTTTTGGTATCGGCCTCTGGAGATCCCAGTGTCACATTCCCTGCTGGCCTTTCCCTGGCCAAGGGGGATTTTTACTGTCTGGGTCTTGGACTCCAGACTTCCTTCCCCCCATCCCTGGGACATTAGGAGAAGATTGGGCTGGCACTGCCTGGGATCACAGGGATCCTAACAAAGGGGGTGGCAGGGACCCAGTGGGACTGCCCGTGAGGGGTGCTTGTGCAAGGGTGCTTCCTGACCCTGCACACACTTGTCTTTTATGCCCAGAAACCCCACAAAGCACTCTCCTACCCTCTATGTGGGGCAAGACTTGGCCCAGTCCCTTTCTGCAAAGTGTCTTTTTGGTGGTGTGTGACAATTCCAGCCTGTTGCATTGCCTGGAAAGGGAGCACTGCCAAGGACGCAGCACCATCAGGGGTGTTTGCAGGGAGATGGAACGGGATGGGTTGGGATGGGACGGAATGGGGAGAACTCTATTCCCTCCCCATAGATCCCTCCCTAAGAGGAAGATCTGAAAATTGGGGCAGCCAGCCCTGCCTCCTGTCCCTGCTGACGGGTGTGATGGCAGATATCACCTCCTCCACCTCACACCACAGCAGCACCCTGAGCAGTGTCACAGGGAGTCACAATCCCTCCCCTGAACCCCGCTGTCCCACAGCACCATCTGTGGGAGGGTCACCCCTGTCCCTGGACACTGTGCCTGTGCTGGGAGCACTGAGCCCGAGTTCATGGTGGGGTCACCTGACTCACTCCATCAGCTGATGTCGGGAGCTGTAACCACCACCCTCCATCGTCTGTTTTTATTATATGTGGGACCTTTTTATATGTTTTATTACATATGTGACCCTTGTACTAGCTGGGAGCGGTGTGTTGACTTTTCTTACATACCCATCTTGATGGGCATGGCCAAGGTGGTGCCGGGTTCACTGCTCAGCTGTGTCACCTCTGCCCGCCACACCCCTCCTCACCGGGGAGGGATCTGGTATTTAACAGGTGCCCGACAGCCCGGTTAGAGCCGTGCCAAGGACGGTGATCAAGAGTGCTGCCAGCATCGCCTCCTCTGGGAGCTTTTGGGCAGGTTTGGTGAGTGCAGGGCAGCGGGGAGCGCGGGCACAGCCGGAGCGGGGGCAGCCGAGGGTCAGGGTGCACTGTCCCCATGGGTGCTGCTGGACCAGACACGTGTCCCCTGTCCTTGTGGTCCATGGGGACATGAGCTGGGCACCCGGGTTTGTTATTGCCATTAACGATGGAAACCACAGGCTGGGCTTTGGGTGTGCCTGGAGGTGGGGACAGCGGCTCTGGGGGTTGGTGCTGTCCCCCAGAGGGACAGGAGGGCTGTCACCGAGGTGTGCAGGGGGATGGCAGTCCTGGGGAAGCGAGCGCGGTCTCTGCTCCCAGGGCAGATGTGTGGGACAGAGGAGTCAGGTCCCAGCTCTGGGCAGGGCAATGACGTCCCTGTGGCAGGAGGTGACTGATGGTGCTTGTCCTTCCCTTTCAGCTCACAGACCACTGAAGATGTGTGACCCCCACCACGGTGAGTGACCATGGGGCCAGACAGGGCTGTGGGTACCACACAGCCATCAGGGCTCAGAGAGGAGCTCAGGGCAATGGCCAAAGGCACCTGGGGGGGATTCCCTGCATGCCAGAGGGGTGTGGGATGTCATTTGTGAGGAAGAGATAGACTGGGAGGGGCCCTTTGGGTGCATGGATACACCAGCTCCCTGCACTGTCTGTCCAGGGAGAGCCTGTGTCTGCCTGCTAACAGCTCTCCTCTTCTTCCTAGGCATGCCACGACCACACCATCCACTTTGCCCTCCTGGTCCTCCAGGACACCATGGTCCCTGCCCTGGTGGCCCTGCAGTTTGCCCCCCGGGCTTCCCTCCACCTGGCCATGGGCATCCTCCCCATGGGCACCACCCCCATGGACACCACCCCCATGGGCACCACCCCCATGGACACCACCCCCATGGACACCATCCCCATGGACACCACCCCCATGGACACCCCCATCCAGGACCACCTCACTGCCATTAGAAGTAACATAAGAAGCACCATAAAGAGAAGCAATCCAAGCACCATGGAGACAAGGTAAGAGTGAGGCAACAATAGACCCTTCTGATTTTCTGCTGTGGTCCTTCAGGCCCCCTTCCCCCATACCACAGCATCCAGCCTGGACAGCTGGGACTCTCCTTTCCCACCCTGTGGTGGCTGGAGCGCGCTGCCAAAATCTCAGTGGCTTTTTTTTAGACGTGGAAACTCCTGTTGTATTAATAAATAGGCAAGAACAAACCATATTAAGAGAGTAATTTGAAAAACAGTCCATGAAATTCCTTGAAGGCATTTAAAGCATTGATATGGCTCAGGGTGCACCATGCAGTGCATTAAATCACAGGACTTGTCCTGCTCATCTGAGAGTGAGTCATGTCCACATGTAAGTGACATTCACTCAGTGTCTTGCCAGAGGAACTGTTCAGTTCCTTCTTAAAAAACAACCAAACTCAAACCCATGATCAAAATAGAAACCAAGAAAGGAGAAGCAATTCCTTGTGCTAGGAGTAGATTCTGCAGAAAATGCTGTTACAGGGATGGGCACTGTCCAGAGCAGGTCAGAGTCAGGGACTGCTAAACGTACCCCCAGTTCCAATATCAGAAGTGGGACCATTTCCAAAACAAATCAAACTCTCTCACTGGGTAACAACTCTGCCCGTGATCTGCTCTGATGTTTGCCCTTGCTTGTAGAGAGCACAACCCTTCTGGAATTTGCTTTATTGACCTAAAGAACCTTGAAAAAAACTAAGAAACACCCCACAAGCTCCCCACAATATGGGGCACCCACGACAGGGTCACTAACACATCTCAGGAATGCTGTGAAAGAGAGTCTTTTTGCTGGTGCCCTAAAGTTGTTTTCTCTCCTCCAGCACTCCAGTGACTCAAGCAGCAGCTCTGACTCTGACTGAAGATCTGGCATCTCCCACCTTCAGCAAAACACGAAGCCAAACACCTTGTGGGAACTCCCTGCATGTAGCTCTACTCCCTTCCCCTTTCCCTTACAGCAGTGTTTTGCCTGCTGACTGATTTTCTTGTGTTTACATTGTAAATGATTTGTCCTGGAATCTCTTAAGTCACTGGACAGCATCTCCATTGTCTGTCTTTTGGGAGAGCCTGCTGAAAGTCATCATGTGCTTGTTTGCAATCTGCTGGTGTCCGTGTGTTTTTTCCTGGGCAATGGTGCCATCTGCTAACGTGGATCCTACTGCTCGTAAAAGTCCTTAGACTTCGTATGAGCTTTCCCAGCTAGAGTAGAGGGGCTGGCTGGGGACGCTGTATATTATGTGGGCTGCCATCCTCAACAGCAGGGTAATAAGTGCTGGGAAAGATCTCACCATGGCAAAGGGAACCTCCCGCAGTTTGGCACAGCCCATCTCCCCCAGATTTCCTGCCAGCGCAGCCTCGTCCATCCTTGTTGCAGTGCTGGCTGCGTGTCTGTGCGTGCTGGGGCAGGGGGATTTCATTTGTGCAGCCCCTCTCTGCTTGCAGCCATGTCTTGTCCTTTGTCCCTTGAGGCTGCAGCAGGACTTGTCATGACGGAGCTGACGCAGCCGTGCTGCTCCTTGCAGGTGGTCAGTTCACTGGGTCTGGACTCCCTGTCTCCATGTCACCTGGAGGAGCACATCCTTGAGTAGGGACCCCCATCCCATCCTACTTTGTATCACGGTGCCCATCCCTGCCTGGATGGGGGGATCCTGCTGCCTGCATCTTTCACTTGGCTTGTTTTGGGAGCAGTGGCTGCTTCCGGCCACTTGTGGAACAGCAGGTCACTTGAGCAGGCAGTGGGAGCAGGTTTGGTGGCCAAATTGGAGCGTTAAATTCCCTTCCCCATCCCCATGCCAACTTTCCCTGCCTCTGGTTCACCCGCTGGCCTCTAAGGAGAGACGCTGTGCGGCAGCAGCCAGCAGGAGAGGTGAGCTGGGCTGGTGGGCACTGTCAGGCTGGGGAGCACAGGCACCCAGCACTGAGCCAGGGCTGTCCCCCCTCCCAGGCGCGTGGCTGCCATGCAGCAGGGACTGAAGACGGCCGTGAGGGTGCCCTATGCCCTGGCAGAGAAGGTGAGTGGGCTCTGGCCTGCTCTGAAGGAACTGGCACAACACTGCAACCTGGCCTGCAAATCCGACATCCAGGTACGGCCCCAGGCTCACACTCTGCCCTGCAAGGTGTCCTCATGTCCTGAGCTGCAGGGAGCATCTGTCCAGCTGTGCTTCCCAAACAGGCCCAGTGCTTTCCACCCACTATTTGTCAGCTTGCAAAAACAGCTCCTTGTAGGAGAGTTGACCTCCACCAGCCCTTGCTTGAGTTTCCTGTTGTGTGTGGCAATGCTTCCAACTGTTTGAGCTACATCCTGAGAATCCCACCAGATTGGAAAGTGTTCTGTGCCGCTTGCTGTTGGAGGGTGGGCGTGGGGTTCATGGTTGGGTCGCCTGACTCACTCCATCAGCTGATGTCGGGAGTTGTAACCACCACCCTCCATCATCTATTTTTACATGGGACCTTTGTGCTAGCTGGGAGTGGGACCTTTGTGCTAGCTGGGAGTGGTGTGTTGACTTTTCTTGGGTGCCATGGTTACAGCCCTGGTGCAGGGTGGTGCCAGTTTGACTGCTCAGCAGTGTCACCTCTGCCCGCCACACCCCTCCTCACCGGGGAGGGATCTGGTATTTAACAGGTGCCCGACAGCCCGGTTAGAGCCGTGCCAAGGACGGTGATCAAGAGTGCTGCCAGCATCGCCTCCTCTGGGAGCTTTTGGGCAGGTTTGGTGAGTGCAGGGCAGCGGGGAGCGCGGGCACAGCCGGAGCGGGGGCAGCCGAGGGTCAGGGTGCTCTGTCCCCATGGGTGCTGCTGGACCAGACACGTGTCCCCAGTCCTTGTGGTCCATGGGGACATGAGCTGGGCACCCGGGTTTGTTATTGCCATTAACGATGGAAACCACAGGCTGGGCTTTGGGTGTGCCTGGAGGTGGGGACAGCGGCTCTGGGCGTTGGTGCTGTCCCCCAGAGGGACAGGAGGGCTGTCACCAAGGTGTGCAGGGGGATGGCAGTCCTGGGGAAGCGAGCGCGGTCTCTGCTCCCAGGGCAGATGTGTGGGACAGAGGAGTCAGGTCCCAGCTCTGGGCAGGGCAATGACGTCCCTGTGGCAGGAGGTGATTGATGGTGCTTGTCCTTCCCTTTCAGCTCACAGACCACTGAAGATGTGTGACCCCCACCACGGTGAGCGACCATGGGGCCAGACAGGGCTGTGGGTACCACACAGCCATCAGGGCTCAGAGAGGAGCTCAGGGCAATGGCCAAAGGCACCTGGGGGGGATTCCCTGCATGCCAGAGGGGTGTGGGATGTCATTTGTGAGGAAGAGATAGACTGGGAGGGGCCCTTTGGGTGCATGGATACACCAGCTCCCTGCACTGTCTGTCCAGGGAGAGCCTGTGTCTGCCTGCTAACAGCTCTCCTCTTCTTCCTAGGCATGCCACAACCACACCAGCCAGTTTGCCCTCCTGCTCCAGGATACCCTGGTCCTGGCACGGGTCCCTACCCTGGTGGCATTGCAGTTTGCCCTCCTGCTCCTCCAGGATACCCTAGTCCCGGCACAGCTCCCTGCCCTGGTGGCCCTGCAGTCTGCCCCTCGTTCCCCCCTCCACCTGGCCATGGGCATCACCCCCATGGGCACCACCCCCATGGGCACCCCTCATGTGGCCATAATCCCCATGGACACCCCCCTCCGGGACCACCAGGAGTGCAGGTGTGTCCCCCTGACTGCCATCAGAAGCACCATAAGAAGCACCATAAGAAGCACCATAAGAAGAAGCACTCCAAGCACCACGGAGGCAAGGTAAGAGTGAGGCGACAGCAGACACTTCCTTATTCCTGCTGTGTTCCTTATGACCCCCTTCCCCTATGCCACAGCATCCAGCCTGGACAGCTAGGACTCTCCTCTCCCACGCTGTGGTGGCTAGAGCACGCTGCCAAAATCTCTACGGCTTTTTTTAGATATGGAATTTCCCATTAAGTTAATGGGAGTCAAGGATGAGTCATAGTAAGTGAGTAATTTGAAAAGCAGTCCATGAAATTCCTTGAAGGTGTTTAAAGCAGTTATGTGGCTCAGGGTGCACCATGCAGCTCACCCAAGACTAAGTTATGTCTCTATAAGTGACATTCACTCAGTGTCTTGCCAGAGGAACTGTTCAGTTCCTTCTCAAAAAAACCCCAAACTCAAACCCATGATCAAAATAGAAACCAAGAAAGGAGAAGCAATTCCTTGTGCTAGGAGTAGATTCTGCAGAAAATGCTGTTACAGGGATGGGCACTGTCCAGAGCAGGTCAGAGTCAGGGACTGCTAAACGTACCCCCAGTTCCAATATCAGAAGTGGGACCATTTCCAAAACAAATCAAACTCTCTCACTGGGTAACAGCTCTGCCCGTGATCTGCTCTGATGTTTGCCCTTGCTTGTAGAGAGCACAACCCTTCTGGAATTTGCTTTATTGACCTAAAGAGCCTTGAAAAAAACTAAGAAACACCCCCCAAGCTCCCCACAATATGGGGCACCCACAACAGGGTCACTAACACATCTCAGGAATGCTGTGAAAGAGAGTCTTTTTGCTGGTGCCCTAAAGTTGTTTTCTCTCCTCCAGCACTCCAGTGGCTCAAGCAGCAGCTCAAGCAGCAGCTCTGACTCTGACTGAACATTTGGCATTTCCCACCTGCACAGTACTGATCAGCAAAACATGAAGCGAAACACCTTGTGGGAGTGCCGTGCCCTGCCCTGCGTGTTTTTCTGTTCCCCTTCCCTTTCCCTTACAGCAGTGTTTTGCCTGCTGACTGATTTTCTCGGGTTTACTTTGTAAATGATTTGTCCTGGAATCTCTTAAGTCACTGGACAGCATCTCCATCGTCTGTCTTTTGGGAGAGCCTGCTGAAAGTCATCATGTGCTTGTTTGCAATCTGCTGGTGTCCGTGTGTTTTTTCCTGGGCAATGGTGCCGGCTGCTAACGTGGATCCCACTGCCCATAAAAGTCCTTAGACTTCATATGAGCTTTCCCAGCTAGAGTAGAGGGGCTGGCTGGGGATGCTGTAATTATGTGAGCTGCCATCCTTAACAGCAGGGTAATAAGTGCTGGGAAAGATCTCACCATGGCAGAGCGAACGTCCCGCAGTTTGGCACAGCCCATCTCCCCCAGATTTCCTGCCAGCGCAGCCTCGTCCATCCTTGTTGCAGTGCTGGCTGCGTGTCTGTGCGTGCTGGGGCAGGGGGATTTCATTTGTGCAGCCCCTCTCTGCTTGCAGCCATGTCTTGTCCTATGACCCTTGAGCCTTTCCTACAGCACTCCTTTCCAGAGGAGGGAGAACATGGCAGTGACACCACAGTGCTGATGGACATGGCTCTCCAGCACTGTGCGTCCCTGCCTTCTGCCCATGCCAGGAGCCCGTCCCTTCACTCATCCCTGGGGTCCCCCATGCACAACCCACACTCCTCTCCATCCTACCTCGACCACCTTATAGGACATGTCCTCAGAGGGCTCCTTCAACTTGTGACACACCATGGATGGTGTGTTGGATGTAAGATGCGCTGAAGAAAATGCATATAAAGCCCAAGTCAGGTGCAATGGCACCTTTGTGGTGGGGAAAGGCACAGTCCCTCAAAGAGAGGCACCTGAGATCTCCTCACCCATGAACAGGTGAGGAACATGAACCAGGTGAGGAATGAAGGCATTGTCTGTGTTGTGGTGAGACACGACAGTCTGGATATGCCCTGCCAGGGTGCAGGGCCAGGGTGCACCTGGAAGTGTTCAAGGCCAGTGCTTGGAGCAACCTGTCCTTGCCCATGGCAGGAGGATTGGAATGAGATGGCCTTTCAGTTCCCTTCCTACCCAAACCATTCTGTGATTCTATGATTATCTGGACTTATCAGCTTAGAACCAGGAGAACCAGCTGCTCATTAAAAATAATTCAAAAAAAAATAAAATGAGACGAACTACAGAATATAGAGGCTTTTTCAGGGTAGGGTGAAAAGGGTTTGTTTATTTTTGCAGACAGCACAATTCAAGTTCAAATCTGGGCATTGCTCAACAGATACTGGTGGGATGAAGGCGCCATTGACACTTTGAGCACACCGGGGTGACAGGGAGGCAGCTCTGGTGGCTGCTTGGTATTTTGTGAGATGCTAGGAGGCCCCTCTCAGACAGGATTTTGGGTGCAGTAATAAATGAGCAGGTTCTGATGAAGGGCAGAATGGCAGAAGGAATCACAGGAGATATGGCCCACAGGAAAATAAAGATCTTAGAGACGATTTGTGAAATTTAGGATAGATACACCCCCAAAAGAAGCATCTGCAGACAACTGTGGAAGGCAGCAAAACCTCTCACACCATCCTATAGCTCCCAGGAAGGAGGAGCAAGACACAGTGAGGAATATTGAGAGTTTTTGAAAACTAGAGTTATTCATTCATCCTGCTACACTGGAAAGGTTTCTTGCTTCTCTGATAAGCCCTCCTAAGGATTACAGTACATACGCAAGTCATGGCTTGGTGTGTGTAAAGCTTTATATGGCTCTGTATCCTCCTTTGATCTGGGTTTTAATTAGCACCATAAATGTAACATACATGACTCTTCATCATGAAAATCAATAAAGAGCTCTGGATTTTGACTAGAAAGGAGGACCCTGAGGGCAGCTGTTCTGGGCTAGCAAACATATGAGGGAAGAAAATACAAGAGGTAATATCAGGGGTGTGTATATCAGTGAGAGGAGGATGTGTGCGCGCCCTTCATTTAACAAATCCACCTAATGAACCTGTCGAAGAAGCTGGGCTGGGAGAGGCTGTCATAGTCCTTCTCCCGGAAGATGGCTGCCCTGTCCCCGAGGCCAAGCTTCAGCAGGACGTCCATGTCTACGTCACTCCCAAGGGCCACCACCGTGGGCATGACATCTTGCTTCTTCATGGAGTTGATGGCCTCCTCCAGGTTCTTGCTCCCCGTGATGCCGTCGGTGATGAAGACGAAGGAGAGCTCAGCATTGCGCCGGGCGAGTCGCTGCCCGTTCCCTGGGCTGAGCACGATGTTGTTGATGGCGTGAATGATGGCTGACCCGATGTTGGAGGACGAGTCCAGGTACTTGATCTGCGCCAGGGCGGTGGAGATCTCCGTCAGGTTGTAGGTCAGCGGGAAGACCACGTTCTGGTCCCTCTCACTGCCGTACTGCAGCAGCGCGATCCGGGCGTTCATGTTGTCGCTGCTGCTCCTGGCCAGCGTGAGCTGCCGGGCCACCTCCTCCACAAAGTGGTGGGCACTCTGGAAATTCTGCTCACCGATCCTCTCCGAGCCATCGAGCAAGAAAACTATGTCAACGGGGCGCTGGGTGCACTGGGCCACAGCAAGCTCTGCAGGGGGAAGAAGACGACAAGAGTTGGGAGAATAAGAAGACTAAGGGATAGGTCTGGGGCTTGTTTCAGGCCATTTGGGCTGGAGTTGCCTGTGTGCACCCTTGTCCAAAGAAGGACCAGCCCCATTCTGCTGCCAAAGACTGTCTTTGCAGCTCATAATGGAGGAGCTTTGCTTCTGATGCCCTCAGCTCCCAGACACGAGGTCTTAATGAATGTTAATTCTGGGACCTATGAACGACTTCAATGAAATTACAGGTCTGCACATCTCAGTCCCACAATTACATCCACTGTCTTACATCAGTTCCCGGCTCTCATCTGTGAGAGGAATATCCAGAGATTAATGTCAGGCAGCACCTGCAAACCTCTTGGTTACTTCTGAAGAGTGGTTTACTTTCAGAGTTATTCTTACCATAGAATCAAAGAATGGTTTGTGTTGGAAGGAATATTAGGGATCGCCCAGGTCCAAGTCCCCTGCCATGGGGAGGGACACCTTCCACTAGCCCAGGTTGCTCCAAGCCCTGTCCAAGCTGGCCTTGAACACTTCCAGGGATGGGGTGTCCACAACATCTCTGAGCAACCTGTGGCAGTGCCTCACCACCCTTAAAGAATTTCTTTCTAATCTAAGCCTTCCCTCCTTCAGTCTAAGGCCATCAATGCACACACGGATTTTTAGGATGGAAGCTGTTTTCCTGCTTTCCACCCAGCTTAGTTTAATCAGCAATCACTAATTCCTGAAGAGCTTATAAAGACTGGGTGGAAAACAAGACTAATTTTCTTGGTGCACTTGTTCATAGTAAAGCAGCCTTGGTGATAGATATCAGACTGATATTTGGAGGGAACACAGTGGGACATTGTTCTTTAGTCATGCAGAACAGCACCTGTCCATGAAGTGGGCATATGAATATATGAACATGAAGTGAATGAGCTCAGGAAAAAAAAAACAAAGAAGAAAATAGCTATCTCTGGAGTCAGCTGATAGTAAGGGACCATTGCTTCATCCCTTTTCTGTAGTTATGTGTATTGCATTCGGTGTTCCTCTGTGTTCCCCCTGAGTTGGCCGTAGCAGAACAATGGCCATACCACTTTTCAGTAGTTCTGTGGCTCTTAAGACTGAATCTCAAAAGGGTGAAGTCCCAAAGATGTTGCCATATTGTGTTGCATGACTGGCAAGGAATAGGAGCTTCTGGAGCAGCCCCAGCCTCAGCATCCGTTTCAGGCAAGGAGGGGTAACTTTGGGGATAGGAGTATCACATGAGCTTGATTTTTTGCACTATGAGCAAACCCAACCCGGCAAAGAGCTTCCTTGGTGCTGAATGATGCTACACCTGGATTCAGCACAGAATCATGGAATCACAGAATTGTTATGGTTGGAAAAGCCCTCTGAGATCATCAAGTCCAATCATTAACCCAGGACCACCATGTTAACCACTAAACCATATCCCTAAGCACCATATGTACATGTATTTTGAACACTTCCAGGGATGATGACTCCAGTGCTTCCCTGGGCAGCCTGTGCCAGTGTCTGACTGCCCTTTGAGCAAAGAAATTTTCCCTAATATCCAATTTAACCTCCTCTGGCGCAACTTGAGGCCATTTCCTCTTGTTGTATCACTTGGTACCTCCCCTCCTTTAAAGCAATAAAGGCACATACTCACCTTTGCCCAATCTTCCGTGAGAAATGTTGTCTAAATGGTATGCTGGTCCTGAGTTCCTGGTATGCAGGCACTGCTGCTGCAAGGATACTTTGCCTTGGCAGCACCTGCACTCCTCGTCCTCACCTGTTCTGTGCAGTTGTGGAGGGGGAAAGGCAGGAAGGCCTTGCAACCACACAGTGCAAAACCCACGTGAGGGTCTGCGAAAGCCGGTGGAAGCGAGCGGGTAAGGAGCGAGGGCTGCGTGCCATGTTGGAGCGGTGTTAACAGCCTCCCCCAGTGCTTGCCCACATGTACTCATGTTTTTGGAGACGACAAGCACCACTGACCCACCTCCCACGTGGCCCAGAGCAAGCCTTAAGAGCTCTGAGCTAAGCTAAGGGGGTGGCTGGGAGCAGCACCACTCCACGGAGCGTCAGTGACAGTGCAGTGCACGTCTGACAGGAGTTTCCCGGAGACACTCCGCTTGCTGCTTGGCCCTCACGGCTGGAGAGGGCTGCCTTCCAGCTGTTTGATAAGGTGCCTTTAACATATGGGAATGTAACAGATGTGAGGCAGCAAAACCTTAGGTTTGTCCTGCTGGGTGTCATGCTCTGGCTGCAGCTCGTTCCCATTTCTGAGAGGCTGAGGACCCAACCACCCTTTCCTGCAGCAAGGGAAAAGATTCTTGTTCTTAACTGGGAGAGAAACTCTCGGGGGCACCACGAATTAGGCCAACTAAAATCTTGCATTGGTCCTTCTCATGTGGCTTATAGTAAGGCAGGAATGCCTGTAGCTCACCATACTGCACAGCTGAGGATGTCTATCGAGGGCAGCACAAAAAAGCAGAAATACCCCTGATTTTCCTCCATTAGCAACCCATCTAACTGCATGCATGTGCAGAGTAACCCCACCCATTCACATCACT